CAAGAATCAAGTCAAAGATTTGAAATACGAAGAAGTAAAAACACCCAACTGGAAAAGCAAAAGGAAAAAAGAATACAAAAATATGAAGACAGTGTAAGGAGCCTCTGGGACAACTTCAAACGTACCAACATCCGAATTATGGGGGTGCCAGAAGAAGAGAGAGAGCAAGATATTGAAAACCTATTTGAAGAAATAATGACAGAAAACTCCCCCTACCTGGCGAAAGAAATAGACTTACAAGTCCAGGAAGTGCAGAGAACCCCAAACAAAAGGAATCCAAAGAGGACCACACCAAGACACATCATAATTAAAATGCCAAGAGCAAAAGACAAAGAGAGAATCTTAAAAGCAGCAAGAGAAAAAAAGTCAGTTACCTACAAGGGAGTACCCATATGATTGTCAGCTGATTTCTCAACAGAAACCATGGAGGCCAGAAGGGAGTGGCAAGAAATATTCAAAGTGATGAATAGCAAGAACCTACAACCAAGATTACTCTACCCAGCAAAGCTAGCATTTAGAATTGAAGGTCAGATAAAGAGCTTCACAGATAAGAAAACGCTAAAGGAGTTCATCACTGCCACACCAGTATTGTATGAAATGCTGAAGAGTATTCTTTAAGAAGAAGAAGAAGAAGAAAAAGGTAAAGATAAAAATTATGAACAACAAAGTGACAACAAATACATATCCATCAACAAGTGAATCTAAAAATCAAGTGAATAAAAAGTATGGGCACCTCCAAACCCCTCTTTGTTTGGGGTTTGGAGGTGCCCAGATGAGGTGCAGCTGTGAAGCAATGCAGGCTGCTGACGAGCCTTAGGCCTTCTTTTGGAAGCTCTGGGGTTCTTTGACCCAGCTGCAGTTTGTTAGGTTTTAGATTGCAAAAGGCCAGGCCATTCGTATGCAAAAGCCTCGGCTTGGGTGGGGCGGGGTCTCAGGAAATCACGGTGCAAACAGCAATGGTTGCCTGTTGGCCCTGCCCCGGATAGGTCCTTGGGTCTCTGTGTCCCGCGGCCCCGTGCAGGAACAATGAACGCTGCAAGCACCTCTGAGAGAAAGCCGCCCTTGTGTTCTGGCCCAATGCCAGGCAGTCCAGTTTCTCCCCCTATGAGTCTGGGTCCCCAGAGTCTCGCACAGAATTGGAGTTCAGAGCAGTTGGGAGTTTGTATCTCCCTCCTGATTGAAAAAGACCACAGCGTACCCAGTTGCCAGCCCCTTTCACGCGGCTACATACCTCCGCTCTTCTGCACCTCTGCACCTCCTACCAGTCTAGATGCGCTTTTCTCTTTCCCTCTAGTTGTTGGACTTCCACTAAGCCAGCCTTCCCATGGTTCGGGATTTTAGTTGTAGTTTTGATGTGGTTGTGCGAGGCAGCAAGTTCAGGTGTTTACTTATGCCACCATCTTGGTTCCTCTGTATTCCTGATTCTTGAGTAAAGACTGAGCTTGTATGTACAGAACAGCAGTTAACAATTTCTTCCATCAGAGCCTTATTTTATTTTTCTGCCATCAACTATCATTTATTTCAGGTAGGATTCCATAACTGTAAATAAGATATGATTGGGGTTTAAACTTCATAGGCATATTTGTCCTGGCCTACTCCCCTGTGGTTTTATGCTTGCTTGTTTGTTTGTATTTGTTCTTTTTATAAAAACAGCTGGTAAAAACATAAATATAAAGAAGAAAAGAACTTATAAGACCACCATGATTTTTATCCTGCCTAAGACAACATATTGGTTACACTTTCAATTCAAGATTGTTCTTTGTTATTTTAATCTCCATTTAATTCGTACTTTTCCAGTATAATAGACCACTATACAGTACATTAGAAATCAGTATTTTATACTGACAACACCTTACAGTGCTTTGGATTGCAAAGTCCTTATGATTTACCTCATTTAACCTTCAAAGCAAATCTGCAGAGTAGGTAGGAATTATCATCCTATTTTACAGATAAGTAAATTGAGATTTATAGATTTGTCCAAAATCATAATTGAGACAGATCTGAGACCTGAATTCAATTTAATAATTAGCATTCTTTCCACTCCATCCTCTTACTAATTGGCTATAAGCCACTTTGCCTTTTTTCATTCCTAGATTTCATTATTAGAAAGGTACTTTGACTTAATGATATTGTAAAATAAGGGTATACCATTCTATCCACCCGTGATCCTTATGCCTTAGAATATTACCACCGTGGTACAGGGTTTTCCTAAATTTGTATTTCTATTGTCCATAATAAAATTATGATTCTGGTATTTTGCTAATAATTGATACTTCTTTATAGACAGTTAGTACAGTTTATCATCTGGAAAATGTGAAAGTACACATGATGGTTTTTGTTGTATGTCAGCGTAAGATAAGTCAGTATATCACTTTTTTCTTTATCAATACTGTTTTATGACCTGCTTTTTTATGCTTATGAATATATTGTGATTATTGCTTCATATTGCTAAATTTAAGATAAATATACCTCATAATTTTGAGTGGATATGTTTATGTTCAAAGTTTAGGTTGCTTAACATTTTTCAAACAACCTTGCCATGAATATCCTTTTATACCTTTATTTGCACACTTATCTGATTTCCTTAGAAGAAATTCCTAGAATTAGTTTTGTCAGGTATACATGGTTTTAGATGATTGTGTGTGTATGCTTTGTTTTTTAATTTTGTGGGGTTTTGTTATTTGCAAAACTATCCTATATATGGTGTTATATTCCCACCAGCAATGTATGAGTGCCTATTTTCTCCATATTTTCACCAGTACTGGGTATTATCAGGTCTTTTAATAATACTTCCTTGTTTTAATTAGCTTTAACTAGTTTTAATTATTTGATTATAAAGGACATTAAATATTTTTTACTTCTCTGTCGGTCATTTGTATTTCATTTGTGAACTATAAAATCTGCCCATTTTTCTATCGGGGGTTAGAATTAGTCTTCTTTCTTCCTTATGTTTTCCTTTATTTTTAAGGCTCCTTTACAGTTGAACTAATATTCTGGCTTGCCTCCTGCCATCGTTCTTCCCACACAACTCAGGCTGCAGAGTTGTAATGATGACACGAGTAATAACAGCCAGTCAGTTCATTGTTTTATAATTGCTTGAAGTCCTTATGACTTAGCTAATTTTAAAGATAAGGAATGTTAAACCTTTGCCCTGGCATCCAAATTGACTAATATAAAATGTCATTAAGTTATATTTTGACAGAAATGTTGAGGGTTTGTGTGTGTGTTCTGTTAGGTGCAGGTGAGTTTTTGTTTGGTTTGTTTAGTCTGTTTACCATGATTAAGTTTTATTTTTTTTTTTCTTAAACTTAGGTCGTGACAAAGACCTTTCATGGTGCAGGCTTGGTTGTTCCAGTAGATAAAAATGATGTTGGGTACAGAGAGCTCCCTGAAACAGATGGTAATGTATTTCTCATGGACATGTGTATATGTACATATATATGCTAATATCTGGAGGAAGGCTTTCCTTCTATGGAACAGTAGATGTATACATGTGCCTTTTGTGGGACAGTCACTAGACCTTAGTGATAAGGAGCACGCTCCGGTTTTAGGGTTAGTCAGACCTGAAGTAAAATTGGGTTTGTACCTGTGTAACCTTGAGCAAATTATTTAACTCCACTAAACTTTGTCATTTTTATCTGTAAAATGGTTAATAATGGTGAATACCATTTATAGGGAGGGGTGTTTGGGGTATAAAAAAAGTTTATAAGGTCTTAACATAGTGCTTGCCTTAATAGTGCTTAAATCATAGTAGTTACCCCCAACTGGTGTGGCTCAGTGGTTGAGTGTTGACCTATGAACCAGGAGGTCACAGTTCAATTCCCGGTCAGGTTACATGATGGGTTGCAGGCTTGATCCCCAGTGTGGGGCGTGCAGGAGGTGGCCAATCAATGATTCTCTCTCATCATTGATGTTTCTATCTCTCTCCCTCTCCCTTCCTCTCTTAAATCAATAAAATATATTTAAATATATATATATATATATATATATATATATATACACACACACACACACACACACACACACACACACACACATATAGTAGTTACAGGCATTTAGGGAATTTCAACTTAGTGCCTAGGTTACATTTTCTGAATTATTTCAGAATCTTTGACGTTGGTCAACATACAAGATAGTAATTATTGAAATAGTATGTTTTTATGTATTACTTTGCAAAAGTTTTTTCATCTGCAGATAAATTAACTTAGCACCCAGAAGTCCAAGATCCTGAACTAAATCATTTATGGGTATGAAAACACTTTGAAAATGGACTATTCATACACAAACTATAATTATTGCTATGTTAAGAAAACAAAATCACTTCTCAACTCTTTCCCCTTCCCTTTATTCTCTTATTACTTTGAACATCCCTGTGGGCATTGCCTTAATTATCATCCTGTTCCAAAGAGGATACAACTTAGAAGTCAAAATTAGCACTTACTCAAGGAAGAACCAAATATTCCTTCCCAGCTTATGGATTTGGCCGTCAATTTATTTTATTTTATTTTTTATTTCAGAGGGAAAAGGGAGGGGGAGAGAGAGAGAGAGAAACATCAGTTGATCAGCTGCCACCTGCATACCTCCCACTGGGGATCAAGCCTGCAACCTTGGCATGTGTCCTTGACCTGAATCAAACCCAGGACCCTTCAGTCCACAGGCCGATGCTCAATCTACTGAGCCAAACCAACTAGGACTTGGTTGTCCTTTTTTTTTTTTTAAAGGGGAGAATGATGATTTTTATTTTTTTAAATATATTTTATTGATTTCTTTTACAGAGAGGAAGGGAGAGGGATAGTTAGAAACATCGATAAAAGAGAAACATCGATCAGCTGCCTCCTGCACACTCCCTACTGGGGATGTGCCTGCAACCAAAGTACATGCCCTTGACCGGAATCGAACCTGGGACCCTTGAGTCCGAAGACTGACGCTCTATCCACTGAGCCAAACCAGTTAGTTAGGGCTGGTTGTCCATTTTTTTAAACAGAACCAACCGGCCTTGCTTGGTGTTCTCTGGGGTTAGCATCTGGAAATCTGCATTCCTAATGAGTTCTCTACAGAGACTGTTGTCAAACTTTATTGTGCTGCAGAGTCTTTAAGCAGTAGATTGAAGTCTCACAATTATTCAGATGTATTACTTTGTCAGCTTCACATCACATTAGAGGAGTTCCATGAGGAAAATGAATATGTCTGGGCTATAGAATAAGGTAGCTGTTAGTCATATGTGGCTGAGCACTTCAAATGTGGCTACTGTAACTGAGAAGATGAATTTACTTTAATTCAATTGTTTATATTATACTAGAGGCCCGATGCACGAAATTCATGCAAGGGGCTCGGCCCTCACAGCCCCAGATTCATCTGGAAGGATGTCCAGTCTAATTAGCATATTATGCTTTTACTATTACAGATACAGAAATGATTGTTTTGGGTAGTTGGATTAAGTTAAATATCTAAAATAATTAATTTCATGTTTCTTTTTTACTATGAATATGAGAAAAACTTTAACCTGCATTGTATTTGTTGGACAGGATAATCTGTCCCACTGTCCCACTGTTCCACATTTCCTCCCTGAGTCTAGAGGTACATACTCTGTCTCTGCTGGGGAAGGCCTGTGGGCTCTCCTTACTGTCTAGTCTTCTGTTTACATTCTTCTCTTCAGCCTCTGCGAACTCACCTATTCGAAGTTTTGACAAGTAGAATTAGTGTCTTGTTTGGGAAAGGTTGAGAACATCTGTTACAGAAATAGCAGTCTCTAAAACTTCAGGGTTGGTGGGTTTTAAATTGTAGTGTCTGGAATAAACACTGTTACCCGCCTCTGGTTGTGGTCCTGGGGTTTTATGTCCAAGATCTTCTTTATTTCCCTCAACTGTTTCCTAACATTCTAAACATTAAATCCTTCAGTGGTTTAATTATTTTTGAATGAGAAATGGTAGCAAGACATAAAGGACCTAAAATCATCTTGCTCCTGCCTACTGTTATTTGCTAAGAGGAGTAATTGACTGGCAGCTTGTCAGTGTGTGAGTGTTCAGCAAATCACAGTACAGTAACCATGCCAAAGTTAAAAGCCCTAGTATATCTTTACCACCCCTGATAATCCTTATATTTGTACTTAGTACCAATAGAATATTGTGCCTCATACATGTAACTTGATAGCTATGTATCATTCTTAGGTGTGATTGTTAATGTTTAAACCAATCCTTTTCTCCCCACTTAATTAACCACTTAATTTAAAGATGTGTTTTGTTGGTTTCAGTAATTGCCATTCTTTTTATTATTGGATAATCCTCCAGGAGGTACTTTCTCAAAAAGGTCTAATTAGATGTTCAGTACCGTCATTCTCATATGCACCCTGAGATCTGACACACATTGGCATCCAGCAGATAGTAAGAAAATGTCGAAAGCCAAAATAGAAATGTTAAACCACTGTTCTTTATAGTTAAACATTAGACATTTTCCGTGTTCTTTCTTCATATTACACTTCTGCATAGCTGCACTTCCCCACTTGGGTAAAGGTTTGATTTTTGAAATGTTTTATTGTTGTCTTTTCCTGTATTTTTTAAATAAAGAAGGACAGGGCAAAAAGGGATGAACTTTACTGTCTATTTGGATTTTATTTAATCCAACTGCCAATAAAGACTATCCCAGGGGTGCTTTGCATATGATCTCTGTTGCCATATTCTTTTGTTGTTGTTGTTGTATGTGTTTTTTTCCAACCTTTTAAAAACAGAAAAACATTCACATTCTTAGCTTGAGGGCAGTTAAAAACGGGGGTTGGGCTAGGTTTGGCCATAGTTTGCCAATCCCTGGACTAGCCTACTGAATATCGTTGAAAGCTTAGTGAAATCATGATTGCAACTAGATCCACTGAAATACTCACATTTTGCTAATACAAGAAATCATTTTGTTAAGCCATGTTTATGCTTGAATCTTAATTGAAAAATTATAAAATTGCCATTCTAAATTACGTTGCCATCCAAGGTTATATCAGTAGTATGAAAAGTCCTATGAAGAAAAAAACCCAGCTGATATTTTTACTTCTGAAGATGATTGTATATAATTTTTAATATCATTGATTTCTTTCAGCCAACCTCAAGAGAATTTGCAAGGCAATTGTTGAGGCACCAAGTGATGAGGAGAGACTAAAGGCTTTTGCTCCAATTCAGGAAATGATGACCTTTGTGCAGTTTGCTAATGACGAATGTGACTATGGCATGGGGCTAGAGTTGGGAATGGACCTCTTTTGTTATGGTTCACATGTGAGTAAAAAATCACCACCAAACCTCCCCCTGTTCCCCACTCCTTCTCCCCCCTTACCCCCCACCCCACACACACACATGCACATTACATATCCAAGTTTTAGCACAGGTAGGGTATGTATTTCAAAAGGAGCTTTTTGAAGTGATTTTTAAAGCAGATATTTAAAAAATACCTTTTATTTGAAATTCATCTTATATTCTGGCAAAGGTGACTTACCAAGATTATTTGCCTTCAGGTTTACATTAAAGTGAATTTACTTTAGATGTATTAAAGGAACATGCATGTGTGCGTACATACACACCTTTCCCAGGGCTCCATTTCATTTCCTACTGTGATGGAGGAGTTATTTGTCCTTGTGCTTGAATTCCTAGATGAAGAATAAATACTATTTTAAAATAGCTTTAGCCTTAGCCAGTTTGGCTTAGTGGGTAGAGCGTCGGCCTGTGGACCAAAGGGTACTGGGTTCAGTTTTCGTCAAAGGCACGTACCTTGGTTGCAGGCTTCTCTCAGGCCTGGGCCCTGGTTAGGGCTCATGCAGGAGGCAACCAATCGATTTGTTTTTCTCACATCGAATTTTCTGTCTTTCCCTCCCTCTTCCACTCTCCCTAAAAATCAGTGGAAAAATATTCTTGAGTGAGGATTAACAAAAATATTAAAAGTAGGCTTTAAATTACTTAAAATATATGAGATGCTAGTAAATCATTAGCTAATTAAATAGGACACACCTACCCAACACTTTAGTCAGTGCTTAGTCAACTATAATTGCCTCAAGGTCAAAGAGGCAAGAAGGTGTAGTGGCTTCAGTGTGTTTCTAGGGCCAACCTGTTTGGTTTTAAATTACATCTACCCCACTTAAATGCTTTGTAAAATTTGGCATTTTTTCCAATACCTTTTTTTGTCTCCTTACCTATAAAAGGAGGTCTGTACGCAGACCATTTAATTCCTGTGATGTCACCTACAAAGCACAAAGAGGTAAACCACCTTGCACAGGCAGTCTGGTTCCCGAGTCAGCATCTAAGTTAGTAATTCCCAAACTGTAAAGAGCATAGGAATCACCTAGAGATATTCAAATGTAGGCTCTGTTTCAGTAGATCTGGGGTGAGGCCTGAGAAGCCACGTTTCTGAAATGCTCCCAGGTGATGCTAATGCTGCTGCTGTGCACATACTGAGGAGCTGGACTAAGCCAGCAGCTCACGTTAGCGTACCTCAGTCATCTGCAGGGCTGTTCAAACACAGATGGCTGCGTTACCCCCCTCCCCAAAGTGTTTCTTGGGTCCTGAGAATTTGTAGGTCTGGTGAGTCTCATTTGAGAATTCTGCTTCCTCTAAACCACATTACTGTCTTTCCTCTGCCTTCCTCATGTATGCTTACCAGTAAAAATAATCCAAATATTTAACAACCAGAATGACAGCCTTGACCAACCAGAACAGTGCTTGGCCTACCAGGAAATGAACCAGTTTGATCACAAAAACCTGATTGTTGTGAAAAGTTAAATAACATATAAGAATATATGAAAAGGTGTTATTACACAGAACCTAGCACATAGTAAATGCTAATTCATGTTTACCAACAAAAGCATTGCCAGTTTTTCTTCAAGTAAATAACAGCAGTAGCCCTAACCAGTTTGGCTCAGTGGATAGAGCGTTGGCCTGCGGACTGAGGGGTCCCAGGTTCGATTCCGGTCAAGGGCATGTGCCTTGGTTGCGGGCACATCCTCGGGGGTGTGCGGGAGGCAGCTGATCGATGTTTCTCTCTCATTGATGTTTCTAACTCTCTATCCCTCTCCCTTCCTCTCTGTAAAAAAATCAATAAAATATATTTAAAAAAATAAAAAATATAAATAAATAAATAAATAAATAAATAAATAAATAAATAACAGCAGTAGTCTAAGTCACTTGATAACCCAGGCAGGAGCTTAAAGGATAGAGGGGTTTACATGGTAGGTGGAGGAGAGAGAATTTGAAAAGGGATTGGTTTGAAAACTCAAATTCAGCATACCTCTTCGTAACAAGGTAAAAGCATTTAATTACATAGTTTGGAGCAGAAAAAATAAAGGTTGATCAATCTTATCTAAGGAAATAGGGAAGCTTACGTTTTTAACTTGGTTTTCTTCTGAATTTCCTTCAGAATATACCATTAGTCTTTTAGAGCTACAGAATTGCCTCTTGGACAGAATGCCGGTTGTCTGTCTCAAAATTCAGTCCTAATCAATTGAGAAAGTAGCTAAAATGATTTGGGGAGTATGCTTTGTTAAATGAGTGCTTTTTAAATCTATTTTCTGTTACCAGGGCATCTGCTTTATTCTCTGCTTAATGTTATTTTATTTTTCAGTATTTTCATAAAGTTGCTGGCCAGCTTTTACCTCTTGCATACAATCTGTTGAAGAGGAATCTCTTTGCAGAAATTATTGAAGATCATCTGGCAAACAGAAGTAAAGAGAACACAGACCAGCTTGCAGCATGAAAGCTGGCTTTCCGTGGTGTACAATATTTTAAAGCATTAATATTAACCTTGTGATTTTTGTTTGTTTTTAAGGGATACAGAAAATAAACTGATGGAAACATTTACTAAAACTTTCTATAAATCTCTTCTGGTTTTGTTTTGTTTTTTTAATTGTTGACAGAATTACAGATGTCTCCCATTTTCTCCCTTTTTGCCCCCCCCCCCCCTCGAACGAACTCCTACCCTATCCTACCCCATCCCCATACTATTGTCTGTGTCCATGGATTATGCATGTATGTTCTTTGGTTAATCTCTTCCTGTACCCTCCCACTGAGATCTGATCTCACATATAAGAGAGATAATGTGATATTTGTTGTTGTCTTAACTGGCTTCGCTTCACATAATAATTTCCAGGTTCATTGTTGCTGTCTCAAAAGGTAAAAGTACCTTCTTTTTTTTTACAGCTGGGTAGTATTCCGTGGTGTAAATCTCCTTTTTTAATCCATTCATCTACTGATGGGCACTTGGGCTGTTTCCAGATCTTAGCTCTCCTATATAATAAAAGCCTAATATGCAAATTAACCAAACAGCAGAACAACCGGTCACTATGATGCACACTGACCACCACATGGCAGATGCTCAATGCAGGAGCTGCCCCCTGGTGGTCAGTGTGCTTCCACAGGGGCTCCTGGTGAGCGCAGCGGCGGGAGCCTCTCCTGCCTCCATGGCAGCACTAAGGATGTCCGACTGACGGGAGCGGGCCTAAGCCGTCAGACATCCCCCAAAGACTCGTGGACCGCAGGAGGGCACAGGCTGAGCTAAGGGACACCCCCCCCCCCAAGTGCATGATTTTTGTGCACCAGGCCTCTAGTTGTAAATATGCTATTATGAACATAGGGGTGCATATATTCTTTCTGAATGGTTTCAGGATTTTTAGATATATTCCCAGAAGTGGGATCACTGGGTCAAATGGCAGTTCCATTTTTAATTTTCTGAGGAACTTCCATACTGTTCTACACAGTGGCTACATCAGTGTGCATTCCCATTAGCATTGTACTAGGGCAGAGAGGGCGAACATTTTGAGCTCGGCATGTCAGCATTTTGAAAAACTCTAACTTAACTCTGGTGCCATGTCACATATAGAAATTTTTTGATATTTGCAACCATAGTAAAACAAAGACTTATATTTTTGATATTTATTATATTTAGATGCCATTTAACAAAGAAAAATCAACCAAAAAAATGAGTTCGCCTGTCACCTCTGACACGCATGTCATAGGTTCGCCATCACTGTACTAGGATTTCCTTTTCTCCACATCCTCGCCAGCACTTATTGTTTATTGATTTGTTGATGGTAGCCATTTTGGCAGGTGTGAGGTGATCCCTCATTGTAGTTTTAATTTACATCTCTGATGTTAGTGAAGTCAAGCACTTTTTCACATCTGTTAGCCATCTTTATGTTCTCCATAGAGAAGTGTTTATTCAGATCCTTTGCCCATTTTTTAATTGGATTGTCTTCCTGGTGTTAGGTTGTATGAGTTCCTTGTGTGTTTTGGAAATTAACCCCTTATCTGATGTATAATTGGCGAATAATATTTTCCCATACAGTAGGTTCCCTTTTCATTTTGATGGTTTCTGGTGGGGTTTTTTTCATGTGCAAATAAATGGTAGTCAAATCATCTAAATGGTGAGATCCTAATCACATTTGAAAGTCATCCTCCAATGTCACAGGAATTCACCACCTAATGCCTAGATAACCAGTCTATCCTCTCCTGCCAGGAGTCCTTTTCAGTATTTAACATGGGCAGCTAATAATTTATTTCTGAGACTTGAGTTAATAGCTGTAACTTTAGAGATCAGATTTACGAAGGGTGGGAAAGGCACACCCATGATACTGTACAGTATTCTCCTAGAGTGCCTGACCCCACCTAACGAAACTGCATTTTAACAGGGTCTCCTGGTGACTCATGTTTTCTCCCATGAGAATATTCTTTAAAACAATTCTCCTTCTACTCAGTCTGTATTAGTAATCATATTCCATAGTATACATATAGTACTAGGGGCCCAGTGCACAAATTTGTGCACCTTGAAAGGAACTGTGGGCCACGAAGCTGCAGTGGGCATAGGGGTGGGTCTCGGCCCATCTTCCATACCCCTGCCTAGCCCCAATCGTCCCTCAGGAGCAGGGGGAGGTGGAGAAACCCTGAGGGGCAATTAGGGCCGGCAGGTGCAAGCGCCAGGTGGGACTGCAGGGCATGGGAGCAAAGTATTTTCAGTAACTGCCAGAGGCTCACCCCAATGACAGCGACCTGCACCCTGCCTTGGTCTGGCGCCCCCACTCACCTGCTCCACCATCTTGCTGCAGCTGACGCCTGCCATGTTCCGCACATGTCCCTGGCAGTCAGCGCACATCATAGTGACCAGTTGTTCGGTCTAGTTACATATTAGGATTTTATATCCTATATAATAAAGAGCTAATATGCAAATGGTTGTCACACCATAACAGCTCATTCAACACTAGGGAGAGAGGAATGGGGACCAGCCAGGCTGCGGCCCAGGAGAGGAACAAGCTGCCTGGCCTGCAGTCCCAGGTGCCTGTGGCTGTGGCCTGGGCAAAGCCACCCGCCCACAGTCCCCTGCAGCTGCGGCTGACCCAGGTGAAGCCGGCCAAGGTCCTGGGTGCCTGTGGCCGGCCAGAGGGAGGAAAGCCCAAGTCTCGGGTGCCTGCGACTGGCCTGAGGAGGGAATCCTGGGTGTCCTGGGTGCAGTGCAGGCGAGGCAGAGGCAGTTAGGGGCAATCAGGCCAGCAGGGTAGCAGTTAGGGGCGATCAGGCAGGCAGCTATGGTTAAGGGCGATTGGTCAGGCAGGCAGAGGGGTTAGGGGCGATCAGGCAGGCAGGCAGGCGAGTGGTTAGGAGCCAGCAGTCCCAGATATTGAGAGGCAGTCAGACAACCCCTCAGGGGTCCTGGATTGGAGAGGGTGCAGGCTGGGCTGACAGACACCCCCTCCCCTCTACGATTTTGTGTACCGGGCCTCTAGTATATACATAATATAACATAGAAGTCAGTATACTATTCATTTAGAT